TCACCGTGCCGAGCTGTGTTAAGGGACCTATAAGCAGTTTTATACGCCTACAGATACCCCCTCCAAAGTATTTCAGCCTCATTCTTTTATAGAAGAGTCTGGAATACTTTGGATATGATTGTCCCAACCTTTAATCGGTGTAACAGGACCTTGAAATGGCTTCTATTCTTGATTCTTTTAATCCTCTCAGCTATTCGGTGCTTTGTCGAATGTCTGCAAGGGTTCCGGTGCTGCATTTATTGTCTGACCGTTGCCGGAATTTTGAACTTGAGGTCAATTCCTGATTTTCTGATCTTTAGATCGTGTTTGCTGTTTCAACATAGAACCGACCATCGATTGTTGGCGTTGAGTCTTCATTTGCAACGCGTTGTCCGGCGTTTGACACAGTTTATACTCATACGTCTGCTGGAGTCTTGAGAAGCAGTTTATACTCTTATACTTTTCGGAGTGTTGTTGAGTTATCCTTAAGAATATTTTTAGAAAAATACTCTCCAGAAACTTCTCAACAAAAATAGGGAATAGTTTATACTCGTATACCTTATTGGAGTACTTTTCATGTCCGAATGAGCTGAATCGTCCTGATAATGACCCAAAAAAGGCAGTAATTAGGCTAAAAAAATCTTCCGACCCTTCTGAATGTGTGGGAGAGGAATGAATAAATAAGGGACTGAACCATCGGTCGATTTGAAGTCGTTTCGATACTCGGTTCAGCTCCAATTTGAATTTTGGTTCAAATCTGGTTCAAACTGGTTCAACCTGGTTCAACCTGGTTCAAGACTAGTTCAACCTGGTTCAAGACTGGTTCAGGACTGGTTCAAGACTGGTTTAGCCTGGTTCAGACTAATTCATCCTGGTTTGGTCTGGTTCAGCTTGGTTTGGCCTGGTTCAGCCTCCTTTGAACTGATTTAGCCTGGTCTGGTCTGGTTCAACTTGGTCTGATCCGGTTCAGTCTGGTCTGGTCCGGTTCAAGGCTAGTTCAACATTATAAAAGACCTTCTTTTCCTCTCTTTAGGGCCGGCCCCCCCTCTCCACCTTTTTGGAGTTTTCTCTTCCCTCGTGCATCCTTTCTCCTTCAAACCTTCACATTTGTCTTAGATCTATCTTTCCTTTTGATCTTAGACCGAGAAATCCCTCAAAATCTCCATATAAAATTTTCTCTCAGGCCCCTCGAGCACGTGGTTCGAGCCTCCTTCAAGATTTGATTTTTGTTGGATTCTCGAGCTTCTCCTCAGGTAAATCTTCCATAATTTTGGCATATATCATGTTTAATTCAGTATATGAATTTGTGGGATTGTATATGAGGGTTAGGGTTGTGATTTGACGCCCCGAGCTCATATTTCAGGGGGTAGAATTTGGAGATCTGAGGGGTTTGAATGCAATAAAGAGGGGGTAAAATTTTAGGGTTAGAGTTTGTCACCCTAACTGAATTTTTTTATCTGATCCCCTGATTTATTTTGCAGATCACCATATCACATATCCCGAGAGGTCAATCCCCTACTGCGTCGGCTGATGGCGTGCTTCCCTCGTACACCGGTGAGCTCTTTTTTGGCGTATTTCAAAATTTGTAGATTAATCCTTTTTCCCCGTCTTGTTCTCCTTGGTGAGACAATTGGGAAGAGCCTTGATTCTCCTTGGTGAGGATTGACTCTTTAAAAGATAGGTTTTGCTTGGTCAAAACCATATCTCAAAGTAATTAAAGGGGGCTCTTTGAAGCTGCATTGTGCCTTATAAGGCAGAGATATATTGTTGATATACCCTATCTTATAAATGCACAATGTGGCCAAATCGTCTCACCCTTTATAAGGCAGTGACTCTATCTTACCCATTCGTAAGATGAGTTCAACTTTCTTTTATAACTGAGACTAACAAACGTTTAATTGCTTGTTTCCAGTGGAATATCCCTCTGGAGCGTTCTCATCTCATGCAGTGGATGGGCGTCGTGACGAGTATTATTCGACCTCCGATGATTTTTCACCTATTCCACTTACTCCTCAGTTTGCTTCGGGCACGTTGACAGAGGTTGCCCAAGTGGTGAAGGAAGGTGGACATCGAGTTCTTCGACAGTTGATTACTGATGCGCCTTTCGTGAAGGATACTAGCTCTGTTCAGCCTCTTAGGAAGACTGACTTTTTATTCAATGACTCTGTTAAAGATCCTGATGCAGTGTTTATTGATGCCGAGCAGTGGCTTCATAAAGATGACGAGGGTTTTCTATATTTGCCTAAGAATTCTCGTCACCGCTCATTGACTAAGCTCAGGTGTCAGGCCGTGACACGGGAGATGTCATGGCGTTTGACAAAGGAGCATGAGAGCGTTCACTGTGGCTATATTACTCATCAGGCAGCTCCTGGTTCGAGCAGGAGTCATATCATTGGATTGCGACCTGGAGTATTGGGGCTGAATACACCGTCGCGTAACGAGTTTCTTACTTGTGCTTCTACTTTGAAGAATCGTCTCGCCGACTTAGGACAGGAGATGCCTGCGTCGCGCCATAGATTCTATGGCTGGGTCCATTCTTCAGACAAGCTTTGGTGGGCTCGTATGACGAACTATGTCTTAAGCCGATGGAGCGAGGAGTTGCACACTTGTGGTCTATATGCAGCTATTCATTCCACTATGTATGGTTTACCCGTCAGCACCAAACATTTCTTCGCTTTGTACGAGCTCTATAACCCGGATTCGAACACTTTTCTAACTAGGCACGGAGAGTTGGGCTTGGCTCTCCATGAGATGCACAAGATTTCTGGTTTGCCCATGGGCCAGATGTTATATCAGGAGTACTTTCCCTCTAACCATGAATTGAGTTAGCTGAAGGACCGTATGCCCAGCCGCTATGAGACTTTATGGGATCTCACATGTCACTACCATATTGCTTTGGCATAGTTTGAGCCTTTAGCGAAGAGGACTAAGTCACAGGTGAGCCTGAAGCAGTTCGCATGTTATTTGTTCAGAAATCTAGAGAGCAATTCTGGTGAGGATATTTGTGAGCTGGCAACGCTTACTCCTTCAGAGGTTAATGGTCTGCTGAAGAAGATTGACACTCACTCCTATACCATTAGCAGTCCCGAGAGTGGCTTTCCTGCAGGGACCAAGTTTAAATCATTCTTATGGCATGCGACCACATCGATTCAACCGATGACCCTTCTCGCCGGTTACCTCGCTATCTGGTTAAAGAAATGCATGGTCCCGTATTAGTCCAGTAACATTTTGCCATTGGAAGTGCTTGCCTACAAAAAGGAACTTTTGCTTCTTCCGGTGATGGTAGCTAACATTCATCGAGGGCTTCGACAGATTTCTAGTGCTTTCACACAAAAAGAAGATGTACCGTCATCTCGGATTCCTCTTATTAAGGTGGAGCTTCCATACGCTTATTTGATGGCTTGGTTCGTCCTTCATCGTTCTGATATGATGTCGGTACCTAACACCACAGACCGCTCTGTTCCCCTACTACAGTTGTTTGAGAATGGCAGGTGGGAGGGGCGAGGATTCCTTGAAGTCAGGAAGCAGCTACAGGTCGACAAGTGTTGGGTATTTTCCACTTGTTTCCCGTAGTTCACCCGCGTCAGCAGCTTCGGACTCATGGCAGTTTGGTGGACGGTCTCCGGGCATGGCTGTGGACCGTGACGGGCTGTACTGGTGCTAAGTTCAGTCTCCTGAGTGCTGAGTGTCAGTTAAAGCTCACATTCTTAAGCTGCAGGTGGTTGTTAGCAGCTAACAAACCTGTCCCCGTGAAGCCGATTGCAGAGTTAGTGGCTGAGGAGGCTTCTCAGGCTGATTCTCGTGTGATTCGGGAAAATGCTCGGTCACAGAGGACGCGGAGCAAGACTCGTCGAATTGACGAAGAAGGAAAAAAGTCCTTCAATTCTGCTGAAGAGGCCTTAGGCGGAGATCCTGAAGATTACGAGGAATATTTCGAGCGAGGTTAATCACCTATCTTTTCCCTCTGTCTTCCAGAGTTATTAATTTTGACAACTGTTTGATGTTTCAGGGACAGTGGCTGACAAGGAAGAAGAATTCCGTCCTTTTACTCAGGCGAGACCTTCGATTGTTGTCCCAGCTGATAGGCGGAAGATACTAGCCCACAAGCCACGTGCAGATCTACGAGCATGTGAGATGGATTTGGCTGGTGATGATCCCGCTAGCGACGGAGGTAACATCTACCTATAGACCATCCTCTTGATCATTCAGAACTTCGGGCTCATGCTTTTCCATCTCTATATAGGAGAGCGTGAGGAAGACGAGATGAGTCTCGATCCTGCTCCTCGTGATTTTGTATTTTCTGGTGAGCCTGACTTACCACACTAGGTAGAAAAGCCTGCATAAGCTGCCGACATTAGGGAGACTATCAATGTAGGACCTGATTCAGCGAATCCAGGTACATCTACTATTGACAATATACCCTTTAGATGGCAAACAAAGGAGCTGAACGATTCAGAATTCGTGCCTCCCTTAATTGTCTCTATGCTTCCTGCTCTTTTAGATAAATTGCAGGGGGCAAACGTGGACCTTGGGAGTAGAGAGACTAACACATCCGTACACTAGTAGAAAATCGAGTATTCTAGACGGAATATTCTAGACGGAATTTTTTCCGTCTAGATTGTATTAAACTAGACGGAAATTTTCCGTCTAGAATATTCCGTCTAGAATAAAGTATGCTAGACGGAATTTTCCGTCTAGAATAGTATTCTAGACGGTATTTTTATTTTTTATTTTTTTAATAAATAACCAATTATTCTAGATGGAAATTTCCATCTAGGATACTCATCCTAGACAGAAATTTCCGTCTAGGATAATTTGGCTCATTTAAAAAAAATAACCCATTAAAATTTCCCCCCAAATCGAAATTTCCCCCCCAAAATTTTCAGCCCAAAATCAATATATTAAGAACCCCCCTCCCCCCTCCCCAATTCTCTTTCTAACTCCTTCCCTCTCTCTATCTTTCCGCCATCTAACGCCGCCTCAAAGCCCTACGCTTCACTGACCTCCTCGTTGTTGCCACCTCCCTCAACCCCGCCACCTCCAACAAACTCCGGATCGGATCCATCACCGGATCTCCCTCAGGTCCTTGATTCTCTCATTTCAATTCAATCAGGGAGAAAAAGAAACCCTAGAAATTTGATGTTTGGATGTAAATGTGATGTTTTGTTTTTTGGGTGTAGGATGGAGGAGGAGCGTTGCGGATGCAGCTTGATTAGAACGCAGCTGCAGTTTAGTTCTGATTTTTTTTGTTAGTTTTTGTGTTTTTTTGGGATTTTTATTGAGGTTTTTGTGTTTGGGTTTGTTTTTTGAAGGAGAAGTGGAAATCTCCTCCTCTACCAGAGGACCGCTTCGCCCTCATGTGCGGGTCCTCACGCCGGAGAGCTCGTCAGCAGGGAGAGCGGCGCGTTCCTCTACAGGTTCATGTGGCTCGACGATGGCGACATTGGCGAGGTCCCCTTCGTCTGGAACTTCCTCGTCGGCCACAACAGGGATATACTCAGCAAGAGAATTTGCGTGGAATTACAGTAAAAACATCTAATTTAGCTCGGCAAGCGCCTTAATTTGGGTATTTGTTTGTTGTTTTTTCATTGTCACAGGAAAGTGTACTTGGTTGGAAGACGGGGCCCTGCTCAGGCAGCTTGCACAGCGAAGGAAATTCGTGAAATTCTTGGTATAGCTTGTTTGGTATAGTTCATTTGATTACCTAAATGAAAACTTTGCTGGTTTTTGGCCGTTTTAAATGTTTAGATCAATATCAAAAATTGTTGCATTCAAATTATTTATGCTGTAAAGTTGAGATCTAAGCAAATCAGCCATCCATTTATGACTTATGCCAGATTAATGACTGAAGTTTTTAAAGTTCTCACATTAACCTTAATAGTTCGTGCACATTTCAACTAATGCAACATCATAAATATGAAAGCTATCATGTCGGTGAAATTTGATTTATATTTGTGCTTCATAGCTGAGTGCCAAATCGGGTATATGTCATGCATCATTTCCATATATATACAATTTATTATGGGAGAAATTAACTCATGTCCAATAGTGAAGCTTACATCCGTTTTATCACAGTATGAACAAATTTACTTCATGGAGCAAGGCATGACTAAGAAGACATGCTAAAAGCTCATATATGAACATGCATATATATAAATCATAAATGTACAGGCTCAAGTTCAATAGCCTCAACGTTTTAATCAGAATGAAGCAACTTTATTCAACGATGCCAAACATGAACGTTACTAGTTTTATGCATTGAGGTGACAACTTTCATCTTTTAGTTAGTCTATATTATTGAACGGTGATTTCTATTAGGAATACTCTAGATCGACTGTCTATCTTAATTAGCTCAATCGTTTCTTTGCCATTTAAATTAAAGGTTGTGGTCAAATTTTTGTTTGGATTTACTTGAAAGTTACGTCTTAATTTTTAGAGTCCTAGCAAACGTATTACCAGCTTAAAAGTCTATTTCTTGAGACAGCTATTCATTATAAAACTGGGTGGTGTTTAGTAGTGTATTTTGTATTCAAGATCTTCAGGTAAACACATTTACATCAATTTTGCATACTAGGATGCTGGATCTCTCGCAATTGCAATCATGAAGAAAAACTTTAGAGGTCAAACGTTTTTAGGGTGTGATGACCATCCTTTATCGCGGTCTGTTCTCCCTCTCTTTGCAATATACTGTCAATTATGTCTTTTGGTTACTTATGGAAAATATTTTCCCCTTGATATAGGCAAGAAATAATGGAGTGTGTGAAACGAAGCGAAAAGTTCAGCAAGGAGTTGAAGAAGCTTCTGCAGTGTCATAGCCATTGTAAATAATTTATGTAAAAGTTTGTAAACAATTTATGTATCTCTCTACTATTTTGGTGAATGTATTATTTGAATATAATGGGATTTGATATTGTAATATAATTAGATTGTGTTGGATATGAATATAATTTTTTGTTGTTCAATATTGTGTACATGCACCCAAAGTAGACTCTGTAAATAAAAAAAAAAAAATTAAAAAAATTTACTGTAGCACAGTATCCTAGACGGAAATTCCGTCTAGGATACTAAAATTCCGTCTAGGATGCCTTTTTTAAATAAAAAAATAAAAAAAAAATAAAAAAACCAATTTCCGTCTAGAATGAGTATTCTAGACGGAAATTCCGTCTAGAATACTCATTCTAGACGGAAAATTTTTCCGTCTAGAATACAGTATTCTAGACGGAAATTCCGTCTAGAATAATCCATCTAGAATGTATTCTAGACGGTTTTCAATTCCGTCTAGGATGTATTCTAGACGGAATTTCCGTCTAGAATACAGTATTCTAGACGGAAACTTCCCAGACGGCTATTCTAGACGGAATTCCGTCTAGGATACACATCCTAGACGGAATTCTATGTATCCTAGACGGAATTTTTCGTCTAGGATGCCTAATTTTTTAGCAGTGGTAGGAGGTAACTCATTTTCTTTGGTCGTAGTCTCTTTATTCTTCTTTCGCATTTATATTTTCTTGTGTCAGATTTTTCGACTGATGATTTCGACGAGGAAGGTTTGCTTGTGGACACTCCTATGCTCCACTTCATGTATGGCTTTCCTCAGATTGATGACCAATTGCCTGAAGATATGTTTCCTGAGTCTACACTCCCCAAGAATCCCGAGGATGGTCCTTTTGAAGGTACGTGCCTCTTCTCAGGTTAATTATAGGACTAGCCATTTTTTGACTAATGCAGCTATAATGTGATGAATCTGAGAATTCTGTTTTGTGTTTGACAGAAGCTTTTGTCGAGACTGATCCTGTTGAGCCGGCTGTGAGACCAACTACATCAGCTGATACATCAACAGCGGTTACACCTCCACTACCCCCAGCGACTCAAGGGGAAGGAGGTATAAATTAAGCAACTGAGAAATGTCATTTATTTCCTCATCAAGGCTTTTTGACGGATTTCTCTTTTTTGTGTAGGGCTTTCTTCTCGGCTTCATGTCCTTGTGAAGGAGTTGTTATCAGACAACGACCCTGAGAAGATCGTCATCTGTATAGAAGTCCGCTCCTTCTTCTCCTTCGTGAATACTATGATTGGCAAGCTCTTCCACGGCGGACTTTTCCTTCACCAATTTAAGCCTTTCCTTGATCCCAGAATAAATTCAATAAGGGATGCAGGATATCCAGATTTGGCGAAAGCTATAATTGATGACCTTGATTGCTTGGAGCATGAGCTTCAGATGTTACGTGAGCTCCGGGATGCAGGAGCCTCTTCATTCATTGCTGCCAATTTGGATACTCGTTTACAGACATGGCACGATACTCGAGCTTTTGCTGAGTTCGAGATTCAGGTGCAGCGGGATCGGGTAGACCGAGTTGAGGCCAACCTTGCTGTTAGATCATCTTCACTTGACGATCTTGACTTTTCTATTGCCTCTTGTGAGACCAAGATAGAACAGTTCCGAAGAGGACTTCGTGAAGAAGAGGAGACTTTGAGTATCCTTCAGATGACGAAGGTACAGGATCAGCAAGCCCACACTGCCTTATCTGAGGAGTTGAAATCCTTGAAGCAGAAGCTGGTCGAGATGGAGGAGGTTGATGTGAAGACTTTAGCCACCACTGAAGAGTCCATCAGAGCTAAATTGTAGGATGAGCTTAGGCAAGCTTATGATGAGAAGCTGTCTAAGTTTAGTCAGCAGATTTTTAGCCATGGGCTTGATATATGATTTTATTTACTGAATATTTTGACTTTTGATCCTCTTAGTGGAAATGGTTTTATCTTTATCTTTATTGTGATTTCTCATTCTGTTTGGAATGATTAACCATAATACTCACAGGATTTTTGGCAAACCCTCAGCCCTCAACGGGTTTGATAAGCCTTTACCGACTACCATTTGAATCGGGCTAGCATGCGAATTGTCTCAATCCGTTCCGCATGTAACGTTGTGCTAAGAGAGTGAATTCTCTGAGACTTTGTGCTATGATGTTGAATACATAGGCTTTACCATTTGTTACGGGAATAGGCTACCCGGCAACACGTGTTAGGTGTTAACTTTAGGATTTTTGGCTAACCCCCAACCTTCAACGGATTTGATTAGCTTTTATCGACTACCGTTTGAATCGGGCTAGCATACGGATTGTTTCAATCCGTTCCGCATGTAACGTTGTGCTAAGAGAGTGAATTCTCTGAGACTTTGTGCTATGATGTTGAATACATAGGCTTTACCATTTGTTACGGGAATAGGCTACCCAGCAACACGTGTTAGGTGTTGACTTTAGGATTTTTGGCTAACCCCCAGCCTTCAACGGATTTGATTAGCCTTTACCGACTACCGTTTGAATCAGGCTAGCATGCAGATTGTTTTAATCCGTTCCGCATGTAACGTTGTGCTAAGAGAGTGAATTCTCTGAGACTTTGTGCTATGATGTTGAATACATAGGCTTTACCATTTGTTACGGGAATAGGCTACCCGGCAACACGTGTTAGGCGTCGGCATATCCTTTCTTAGGATTCAGGATGAAATTCCCCATGCGTGTAAGGCATGGATTTTGGTGTTATTAATAACAACCTGCCACAATATTGAATATGTGGGCGGGTGTTCTTTTTAACAGTTAAGAACTAACCGGCAGCGCGGGTTAGGCGCAGACTTATCCCTGCTTAGGTTTCATGATAGGATACCCCAGAATCGAACTCTAGTGTCTTTTTCTACGAAGAAAGACTAAACCGGCAGCACGTGTTAGGCGCAGACTTATCCCTGCTTAGGATTCGGGATAAACTTCCTAGGATGAATCCTAGATTGATAAATTCTTGGAAAAGGTTGGTGTGGGAAAGGAAGAATTTTATATTCTATTTCCCGGTCTTCTTTTAGGGTGAAGGCGAACCCAACAGACAAGGAAGGAAGAATTTTATATTCTATTCCCTGATTCTGGAAAGGAAGAATTTTATATTCTATTTCCAGCGAAGAAGAAACTAGAAGTGGGGTGTCCACTCCGAGAATCTGGAAAATTTAGATAAACTTGCCTTTTATAGGATGGGTTATCTAAACTGAAAATGGGTTCTTCGTTTATCGAAGTGGAATTTTCAACTCCGGTTATAACCATGAACAAGGTTTAACCAAAGAGAAAAAGGGAAGGAGTTCTTTCGTTTATCGAAAAGGGACTCCGAACTGAAAGTGGACCTCTTGCTCATGGAGAGAATCAAGAGGGCCAGAAAAACGTTTTTGGTGGTCTCACTGTTAATTGAAATTGATCAGTGAGGGATTTTGGTGGTGAAAATGATTTTGGGTTATCCTCTAGAATATTAAGTGTAATATTCTTCAAGGAACTTCCCGGTAAATGGGTTATCCTGAATGTACTAGGGATAGTACTTTTTCAGGAACTTCCCATTTATTGGCATTAATTGCCTGGCGCCCTCTTGAGTA